AGATCCAGTTGCTTAGCACAGATACCAGCAACAGGGCATGCCATAAATATTCAGCTATAGCAAAATAAAGCGAGTGTGTTTTTTCCAGACCCTAATCTATGGGGGGAAAAAAACTTACATCATCATATGCTGATGTCAACAGAGCATAACTGAATACCCATGCTATTTTGAGGCTTTTTCTTTAACATAGGATACAAACATAGTTCTGTCCCCTGCCCCAGATTGGTGCCTCTCAGTAGTTATGTCTAACATATTTGACAATAGCCACTCTCTTGCTTCAGGGATCCCCAGAAAGATCATCTCATGGTCCTGACCGAAAGAACTCCTACTGGCCCACCCAGTCCCTGTGGACTCTCTCATTTGTATACATCTCCAGTCCGCAACAGCCAGGATACATGAACTGCACTCATAGCCCACCTCCACAAGCACACACCAAGCTGCAAGGGCTATCCCCAGGCCATCTGTGCTTTTACAACACAGTCTTTTCCGGCACGTTCCACCTGAGGTGCTGCGTGAACACCTTGGCTACGTCAACACGCTCCAGAGAAAAGAAAACATCTGAGGCAGATAGTCAGCCCATGCTTTGTACAGCCTGCCAGATAGTCCTGCTGTGCATTGCTGCAAGCAAGGCTTGCATCCTAAATTACTGATTCAGGACCATCTTTATGCTACACAGTTGCTCAAAAAGGCGAACTTGATCAAACTGTGGTGCACGGCCTAGAGAAAAGACAGGGTTATGCGAGCTGGAATGTTTCCTCTCCCCTCAAGCGCTGGACTACAAGGAGGAGGCTGCCGTGATCTAAAGCGCCTCCTTAGGTAAAAGAGGCAAAAAATACCTAACGGGACACACGCTTTGGGCCTGGGGCTTCCAGGCCCTATGCCAAAAACTAGTAGCTATCCTACATCATCTTCAGAGCGCTCACTTGCAATGAAAGTGTTGTCTCTCGCGCCTGGCAACCCCCTGACTAACGCTGATCAGCTAGGGACCAGTTTTCAGGTGGAAGAGTCCACTGTTGGCCTGCTTTAAGTTAAAGCACACACAGTTTCTTAGAGATCTCTCATGAATGCTTAGCCCACTTCACCAATATCCCTGAGAAAGTTTGCCTAGCAAGAAAGTTTGAAGTGAGGCAACAGATGGGCTACATTTCTACACCCCCTACACACACACACACACACACACACACACTTTCTGTTGCATACACCTTAATTAACCCCAAATGATATCACTTATGCAAACACCATCTCCTTCTCAGTCAGCAGGGAAAAACAAACATCATAATGTCATACAGTAGCAAAGTTCACAATGTCTTTATTGTTTCAATTACCTTCAGGTTTTAGCTGAAGTGGTGACAATCTAGCATCCTGTTTTTTCTGGAGGATGTCCACTTTAGACACCACCTCCCCCTGCTCTCCCTCATCACACAGCCTAATTTTGATAATTAAAGCCCACATGGGGAGTTTAGCAAGGCCCAAGTTCACAGTTAAGCCTGTCTGTGGTTGGTACACTAAGATACAGGACGCTTGGGCAGGTTCAACGCTAGCTTCTCTAGCATGGCACATATGAACCCAGGCATACAGATTCAAGGCAGCCATCCTCCATGGCACTCAAGGCCACCTTTGCCTGGTTCTGGCACTATGCAAGCTCCCATATTGGCAGGCAAAAGCAAGAAAGAGCCTATGTTCATACACGCGGCAGCACCTCAGCCCTGGGCACCAGACAAATGACCACCAAGAGTACTCCCTTCCCCCAGGATGCAAATCTTACCCTTCTTCCCCATCCCCTTCTACCAAGGCGGGGGAAAGGCAGAGTCAGCCCCCTTTCTTATACCTGATGTAGTTCCATTTTCCAAAATGCATGGATATTTCTACTTTCTCCCAAAAAACATCCCCCTTTACTGAGGCAATGCCCATCTTGCCTCCCTACATGCTTCAGCAATGTTATGTACCCTTACATGCATACTAAATATATGAGTGCTGTCAATTCCTGTATGGATAAGGGGAAAGGGGATGAAGGGAGGGAGAGATGTGTTAGTATTCACCAGTTCCTCTCTTACCAGTTGTCCAAGGCAGAGGCACCAAAAGGCTGCGGAGGTCAAAATGCAGTGAGACCATTTTCTTTAAGGAACACATTCATTGCAGCAACCGTATGTGCAGCTGGCCATTAATATCTCTATCTCTGCCAGAGGTGGCTGCCCATGACCAGCCTGCAATCTTTTTTGGGTGTAGGAGGCGAGTAGAGAGAAGGAAGCTTCAACCTGCCCCTGGTCAACCCATCATCGCAGTGCTCATTAGCTGATGGATAAAGGCTGTCGTCTGTAAGCAGACAGTACATGCCCCCTTAGCATAATCCCCAGGGCAACAACTTCACTCCCAGTGCGGGAAAATAAATCAAGATACTTGCAGAAATTAGAGCTCTTCTCTGCACTGGCACAGGACGTTCCAAGACTGCTGGCAGCGGAAAAGGGGTGGGATGTGCTCTACTGCGTGAGGAAGACACCCCTCCCAAGGTCAGCCTTAGAGATCAAAGTGGCTGCCAAGAGAGAAGGTGGGCTGCCTGAGGTATGGCACCTTTGCCCCAAACCAAGCAGCTCATTTATGAGCAGAACTCTACCAATCCTTCTGTACCAAAGAGCTGAAGCAGACTAGCACAGGATGGATAGGTGTGCTGAGCCACACCACAAAAAGCTCCTGGCACTGGCCTTCATTCAGACAGCTTTGAATTTGAACACACATTATTCATCTTGATAGCAAATACTCATCTGAGCAGCTTACAAGCAGCTTGCTCCCAATACTCTTAAGAGCAGCAGAGCCCTAAGCAAAGATCTGGGCCTCGATCTGTTTGGGTATGCATGCCCAACTGCTTCAGAAGGTCACTGGGCAGTAAGGAGAGCTGCTTCCCAAAGCACAAAACCCCAACTTTCAGTAAGATAACAAAGTTGATGCAAGTGCAGATGGGCAAACAAAGACACAAAGCCTGCAGGGGTATCCACAGATGACTGTGGCAGCATGCAGGGGATAGCTAGCTCTAATTGCTTCTGTACTATAAAGACAACATGGGCCTTTGGGTGGACTGTTTTCTAGTCTTTGTCATTCCCTCTCTTCACTCTGAAGCAAACCAAACTAACATGTATGTAGCGTAAGCAGGCAGAGAAGTAGGACCCCAGGAACAAACCGATGCGAGTTTAACAGCATTTTAAACCTGCACATATAAAGGATTTTAATATATACAAATGTGTTGAAACCATTCTTCCCTATTGAAAAAAAATGCTGTCCAAACAACTACACCATCTCGTTAACGAAACCACCCTCAGTTATTACTGTATGTAAATAAATAGAGAATTCTTAAATAAAAAAAAAAAACTACAAAAAAATGATGGCGAGTAAGCTGCCCACAACATCCAATCCCTTTCCCCAAGCTAAAGCCAATTTTATTTGCCTTTCTTCATTTTTGCAGTCTTCTCTTTCCGCTTCTTCACATGTTTTGGGATTTTGGTTTTTCTCTTCTCTCTTTGGGCTTCTTTAACCATCTTTTTCCTTTCCTAAAAGGAAACAAGCACCAGTCACTTAAAACCAGCAAGAAGCAGGGATTTTGAGCAAGCTGACTTCATCAGTTATGCTAACATTGTAACAGAGGAGGAATAAGGGGTAAGCACCCCTTATTGAGGGGGACTCACCCTCTCCATTGTTGCATTAAGCAGTTAGTACACAAATACCTGGTTAGCAAGAGGAAGAAAAAAAATGGATGGGAGTGGAGAGGGGAAAAGATTGATAGGAGAAGATGCTATGACACTGCAATACACTATAATTAGTGCTAGACAATGAAGAGGCTACACTCACCCAGAAAATACAAAGTTAACATAACAGAAGGAAAAAAAACCCACAAAACAAAAAACCCCCAAACCACATAATCACTCCTAATCAGCTGTTGAAACTGCAGTTCAACCTACAGATTACGATGCAATTCATCTTATTCACACAAAAAGAAGTCCAAGGGAGAACCCACCCATAACAGTGAGAAAGAAGTGACCAAGACTGTCCTGCTTTGCATCTGAAAGACAACAGCTACAGAGCTCTAAGCAAAGTGCTTAGGAGGGCACTGCAATTTCATTTAAGACGTTTGGAATCTATCTCTTATCTTTCCTGGAAAACTTGGGGGGGGGGTAATGACATCTAACAAGCAACCCCCTCCCCATCTTGAACCCTCATAAATCTAGCAAGTTTCATTTTTCTTTTGCACAGGTCTCACTTATGGGTGATATTCTGCAAAAGAGCCTGAACAAAACAGGGCTCACCTGTTAGGCAGTTTGGAAAGAGATCTAAAAAAGCACCTAATCACCTTGGCACATCTGCTTTAAGTCTCCTCCCCACAGCAAAGCTAGCCAGCCTGCACTAATGGTTCTGCAAAAGCTACTGTAGCCATGGTATAAGCATTATCACCAAATCTCCAGTTCTGCAGGTAAGTGGCCTCAGGGGGCACCATGACAACACACCTGGCTACTCTTCTGGGCTTTGGTCAGCAGAGGTTCTGAAAAGCTGCCCAGTCTTCATTAAATTCTGCTTTGCGTAGCTTCAGAGTTCCCTACACAGATCTCTGTTCTGGCTTTGTCTGAGCCAGAGAGCTATGTTGCATGTCCCTCTGTACAAGAACACCATTCAAGCAAACATTCATAATGAAATTGACTCTCTTCTCTGCTCTCACTCTCCACAACAGGAGGAGTCCTGGAGGAGCTTGCTTCCATCAAGAAGTAATAAAAACCACCGAGAATCTAAGTTTGGATTTGTTTTGTCACATACGCAGTCCCTGGCCAGCTTACCTTTTTATCCATGCCAACTTCAGCAGGTTGATCTTTAGGATGTAGAGATTCTTGACGGCCTGAGTCAGAGTCCTCTGAACTGCTGTCATCATCAGAACCTGTTTCTGGCTCCTCCACCTTTTTTTCAAGAAGCGCAGGGATCTGCAAGATAGACCAAGAGAGATTTTATCTCAAATCCAAACTCAATAGCACAAAGGCAAAAAAAAAAAACCAAAGAAAAACAGTATATGAACAGAATTGCCCACAAAGGAAGCCATGAGCAAACTTATGTCATCTCCTTTACCACAGGCATCAATGAGCCTCAAGAAAAAGAATGAAAAAGAGGTTAATCCAAACTAAACCCAAGACATGTAGAATATACAGTATAGAACCTTTTATGCTCTTTAGCACTACCTCATGTCAGTGGGTTTGGAAAAGAGCAATTTCCTAACAAAGATAGTAAGATCTGAACAGAGTTAGAAAAACTGGCTTCCAAAAACTTACTGAGAGGCATCCTACACAGGCTTTAGTGGAAACGCAGGCATCTATGCTGCAAAAACACGCTTACTCTTAAGCCAAACTGATAACTATGCCAAAGCCTGATCCCTCCCCAAATTTATATTTTCATTTTAAAATATTCTACAGCACTGCTAGATAATGCAATGTTTCAAAATGGTGTGGGGAAGGGGAAGGGATCCAAACATAGTTCTTGCTTTGAGTAATCAACTTGAGATATACTGCTACAGATTGACCTGTACCCTACTTCTTATGCAAAGTGCTTTAAAGTACTTGATTGTGATGTTTTTGTACAAATAGCAAGACAAAATCTTATGCCTTACACTGCAGGGTGTATCTTTGCACAGTAACTACAGCACAGATATCCTGAACATATCAAAACTCAGTCATGTTACTTTCAAATCACAGATAATATAATGGATGTGAAATGTATCTTCCCTCTCCCTCCACGCATTCCCTTAAAGAGGATAGCAATTGCAAGGATAATCATCTCATTCTCAAGCAACCCAGTATCATATCTGGCGATAGGCAAACAATTCATATTCAGATACACTATGATGCCAGACCCGTGATTCCCACACGGGCAGGATCCAAGCAGACAGAAACAGTCAATCTGCAATCGACAGGTTTCTTCCACAGCATCAACTGCAAGATGAGGCATTCTCTGCACTCCTTAAGCATTTAAAGTCATTAAAATGAAGAATAGCAAAAGGCCCTCTCACCTTCTGAACACCAGACAAATCCTTCTTCAATCCTGTCACAGTCTGATAGAGAATCTACATCCAGGAAGAGAGAAATAACATGGTGTTATCAAAATATGACTCTTATATCTAGTACCTACAGAAAATGATTATCTCATAAAAGACAGCAACGTAAGCATAGTACTAACCAGATAACATGAATTTTTACCAAAAACTGATGGTAAAAAAACACTACTGTTAAAATTCTCTTCCCCTCATTTGCAGGGCCTCAGGATGTCTACTCACATTATCCTGTTGAACATTCAATGCCATGTCCTCCTCTTTCAATTTCATCATTATATCCACATCTCTTTCATAGTTTTTAACTTCAGTCAAAGTTCGAGGTATGTAAGCTTTCTTAAATACCTGGTAGAAGAAAGGAGGCAAGTAGATTTACTAATTTACATACAGTTTCATGATGTTCTTCCTTCCCAACTATGCCTCTTTAAGAGAATAATCACGAGGGGTTTCATGGCTCTGAAAACCCAAAATGAGTAAGGCAGTAACCCACTACCATTTCAACTGAAGAATATCTTTTTTTTTTTTTTTTTGCTGGAGCAGACAAACATGGAACCTAAATGTTCTTGATAGTTCACCACGAATAAGGTTTATTCATGAGTATGACCACCGGCAGCCTACTTATCTGTGACCTTCTCCAGTGCCTCAACTTTCCTCTTAACTGATTCCAGTTTTAAGGTTTTGTATTCTAAAAATATAACCAAAAAAATCCTTATGATGAGGTTTACAATGCCTTCAGGAGGCAACTCTATTAAAAATGCATTGTTACAACTTAATCTGTATACAAATAATCCCTCTGTCAACATACACTCTAACTCGCAAAAGGTTCCTGCGGCAGTAGAGTAAAACCTAACCACCATATCAACATCATCTTACTTCAGATTTGGAATGTGATCTTTTGAGACTGTACTCCAGCAAACTGGAGTCACTACCAGATCAGATGCGTTCCTTTCCACGAAGTCCACTGGTACCAAATCCGTCCCATCACCTGACTACAAACATGCTTTACAATTATAACGACCAGACCAAGTGCTGTGCAAACAGCACAGACCCTGTCTCCACAGAGCTTGCATTTAATAAGCTCCGCTCTTTCACGAGTTAGGAAGTGCCACAACTAGCCTGAGGTCACATGAGAAGTCTGTGAGAGCCGGAAACTCAGCTCAAATGGTACTAAACAACTCTCTGACAGGACAATGCCTTTTCTTAAGCAAAGGCTCCGTTTCTGAGATTAACTTGTTCGCAAAAGATGGGCTTGTAACAAAATAGTAACCTCTGGCCCTATACTTCAGTGGGACTTCTACGTTCAGGAACTCTCAGGATACAAAAGCTTTTCCTTGACCAAGCTTGAGCCAGAAGCAGCCAGTAAAACTTGCAGAGCTCCCAGAGCAAAAATCTTCAGTAAATCAAGCAGTGTCGACTCCAACAATAAATGCCTGATGAACTAACACGAGTATGTTCCCACTGATAACAAATCTACTCCAAATTTTTTTTAAATTTTTCTGGTACAGAAACATAAGATTACAAAATCAACTGAAGCTTTCCAGAATGCTGGCAGTTTTCAATAATGCAAACTGAACAGACTTGGGATGGTTTCTCCAGCATGCAAAAGAAAGGGAGAGAAACAGTAAGCAGAAGAACTGAATTAGACTGGGAAGAGAGCTAGATCAGCAATTTGGTCAATGCACACATCTGACTATCCCACGATACTGTGTTACTGGTCCAATCATATTGGCACAATCAGATCTCTCCACTCTCAGTTTCTTTGCTGTTAACTGATCCTGAACTGGAAGACATGTCAAGCCACAAGCAAACACACTGGTTTACAAAGTGGAGTGTCTGCCTTCCGATCGGTGTCCCTTAAGCTTTTTACACACGGCATCCCTCAATACTTTGTCTCCTCAACTAGTTCAGGACATACCAGTTATCGTAAACGTTATGTTCTGTTTATCAGCTGTGCATTCTTCCAAATTAAATAATAAATTTCATTGTTTAGAAGAGGCAAAGTAATTTCATAGCAGGAACAAAACTCCTCACTTACTTCCTCATCCACATTATCTTGACTCGATCTTTCCTCCTCTGTTCTTTTGGATGCTATTTCCATTGCCTAAAGAAATATGAAACAATACAATGTTATCCTGCTACAGAATCAACTCATTTAATCCAACTATCTATTCATATCTCTATTTCTCCCTGTGTTCTATTGGTATCACTCAAAATATCACAGCTTTCCCCATAGCAATGTCTCGAGCGACACCTAATGGTACCCAGCATTTCTGCAGAGCACGCTCATAACCGCAGATCTGCCTTGTTAATACTGGAAGAACACACTCCCTGATCCTTCCAGGCTAAATTATGGCAGGCCATGCATGACTGTAGGAAATAACAGCACAAGGAATATAGCAAGCAGTGCCCCGTACTGGACTTTGTTTTTCTCACTGCCACACACATTGAGTAAACCAGGCGAGCACAAGTGAAGGGAAACCTGCAGCACAGCTCTGCTTCTCGCAACCTCCAGTTATGATACGAAATAATCAACATCTGAAAATACCCATGCCATACTGGTATTTGGACATCAGTCAGCCTCTGCCTCATGGTCTTGGCCAGGAGCATGTACACATCATATCTCCACTCCTGGCCTGCTTTACATGGCCTGGATTTGGCTCCTTCCCAATTCTGTTGCTTCAACTAGGAGAGAGGTTTTTTCATCTAACCGGAAGCAAAGAACGGCACCTAAAGAAGAACTAAGTTACATCTACCTCCTCCTAGAGTTGGTATGTCCCACCAGCCACTATGCTTGCTTAGCAAGACTGTGTTCTTTGGAGTACTATTGCCTGGAGCCACTCCTTTCCTTTTCCAATTTTCCCCTGCTTAAGTCTGCACTCTTAACTCCTTTCTATAAAAAAAAATATGGTTATGTTTCTGCCAGGTATTTGCAGAGCTAAATAAGCTTTCCTCTCCTTTCCAAAAAGGCCGACCTAATTTAAAGCATCCCATTTTTAATGCAAGTAGCACCTGAAACGAACATTTGAGTTTTAGCAATTAGGCTTCAGAAGACCTAGAATGAAAATGTGTTCAACCTACAATGGTACATATGGAAAAGATCCACATATATGTTTGAAGCACTGGCATGACAAAGTCATGTACCAGCTCACTTCAAGAGTAGGCTGCAGAGTAAGTGAGATGGAGTTTGAACCAAATGTGATTATTTTGTTTGAATTTTCTTAGGCAAGCAATGAGGCCTCGAGGTCTTACCTCAGAGAGGTAGTCATCCAGGTTCTCACTTGTAATAGAAGGATCAGTAATAAACTCAAACAGCTCCCTCACAGTCATCACCGCAACATTGTGCTTCTGGAAAAAGTCTACAAGGAATCAAGGGCAGAAGTAAAAGTAATTGTGAGACACACATGCAACTTATGTTAAAGTGACAGTTACAGAAAAATAATTGCCCTGATGACTTGCAAAAGTCTCAGCTGCATATACTGCATCCTACTGAGTTTAGTTATCAAAGCACTTTTGGATGGCATCTTTGGCCACCCAAACTAAAACTTCCTCTTGCAACAAACCCTGGAAGAAGAGACAGTGGTTAAACATAAAAACCAAATCAGCTTCAGCGCAGGGGTCAAGAAGGAAGTAGTAAATTGTTTAGGACAGGTGCAGTATTTCCAGTGATCAAGATGAAAAGCATGACTATGTCAAAGATTTAAGGTCCACAGACCTCAAACTTTTGTCAAAGAAAACGAAAAGTACCCACTGAAACACAGTACAGCCCAATTATGATCCACCATAGTATGAAGACATATGGGACACAGTAACTTACTAGCATTTTCTCTATTATGCTCAGGATTTTTTTTTTTTTGAGTCAAGTATAATTAAATTTGGAGGCTGTACTTCTAGAGATAGCATAAAGCTAGGCATTTCTCTCAGTCTCTGTAGCAGGATTACTCAGAGAAAACTGTAGCAGGGAAAAAGTCAAAAAACAAACAAAACAACAACACCACACGCAGCAACCCACACTCACCAGGGCACCAGCACAGGGAGAGCAAGCCAAAACAGGAAAAAAAAATAAAAAGTGCAAATATCTGATCCAGAAGGAATTACCCAGAAATTCATCAACAGAGGAGGAATAAGGCACAGCTAGCATACTGGGTGTCAACAAAGACATTGAATCCAAAAGTAAAGCAGAACTGTTTCACAGATTTTTAAGTGTCTCTTAAAATAAGAAAAATCACATAGAAAAGAAAGGGTGGAGGGGAAAAAAGCAGTTTGCAGCAACACATTTCCTGCCCTCCGAGAGGAACAGAGCCTAGTGGAAGATGCATGTCTATTACACGTACTCCCACATACTACATGAAGACCGAATCTTTAAGGGAAAAATACTGTCAAGGTACATTGTTGATCAGAATACCATGATAAGTGATGCTTCTCTAATAAGTTAGAGGAGGCTTAGATCTCCTAAGCTGAGCTGGACCAGTGCAGGGAACTGTAAGACACAGTAACTTACCACCTGAGGAATTCTAGCTATGGGTTCCAGTCACAGAAGGAAAAAGAACAATATGCCTGCATACTCATTAAAATAAGGGCAACTAAGATAGGTGTGGGTGCTGTTGCAAGCTTGGACTCTGATCCTTACTTTCTATTGCAAATATGAAATTCAGCCATGTGACTCGCTTGGGCCAGAGAGTTGCTAGTACAATAGGCTACACAGTCTGAGCTCAGCACAGCCCACAGCTCCCTGAGGAAACCATGAGAACCTAGCAGAGGGAACATTTTGGCTAAAGTTTGACAGCTTTGACAGTCAAGAGTCATAGCTGAAAGAACATAAGGAAGAACACAGTTCACCTAAATAAACAAGCCATCAGAACCAGAGCTAAAGTGCAGCCCACGCACCGTTAACATTGGCACAATCCTTTCGCAGGAACTCCAACGCATGTGGGTGGTCATGTTCCACTGCCTGAGACACATCGATGATGTACACTTCCCCGCTGTGGTACCTGCAAACACGTAGAACTGCACTGATTCCACAGGACTGTTATGTGGAAGATAAAGGGGGGCATAAAAAGTGCACTAAAAACATAAGGACCAGTAGACAGATTTTTCTAGCAGATATCTCACATATTAAGGCCAGAGGGTTTTTTTTTTTTGGTCAATCCCTTCCCTCCTCCTCACCCAGGCTTTAAAAGAACACAAAAAGCATTGGTGGAGGTGGGGTGAGGGAAGAGGGGAGGAGGGGAAAAAAAGTGTGTGTGTGTGTGTGTGTGTGTGTGTGTGCGCGCGCGCGCGCGCGTGTGTGTGTGTGTGTGTAAATATAAAAATATACACACGCACCCCTTCCTGATTTTTTCATTAGTCGCTAGTTTTTTTATAGAGAGATTTCAGACCTGGTTTAAGAGGTACATAATTAAGCAGCAAAAATGAAACACAGTCTTGAGAAGGACCCCCCCCACACACACCCCCAAAGGTAGATTAGCACTCTAAACGTATACACAGAAGTTGCTAATGCATACATTTTAGATGTTACAACTCAGAGCAAAGTTTAAAAACGTACAGCATATTAAATTCACTGAGATCTGCATGAACAAGTCTGGCATCTTGATACATTCTTCTCATGTACTGGATGATTTGCAGGTACAGCTCCCGGACTTTTGAGTCAGATAACTGAGCATTCTTCAGCAGAGGAGCAGGCCTTGAAATTACCACACAAATAAGACAAAGTGAGTACTTTTTCCCTCTTCATACCAGCTTTAAATGCTTCAACTGCAGTACCTGACCTTCTACTCAGTAAATGGAAACCCCACCCTGACTTACTTGAGCAAAGCGCATGAAATCAGCCTGTCAGGCAGCAAAACTTGGCACATGCTTGCCAAAGATACCGGGAGCGCCGCTTCCAACATAAGCTAAGACATTGGACCATGCTACATTAATGTTTGTACTACAGAATGTCAAGTTATCTTCATGCATTATAAGCAAGCCTTTTCATCTATAACCTCCGGTTGAACCACCACAGGGATTCATTTTGAATACATCTGCGGCTTCAGAATCAGGCAGACTGTCTGCAGTGGTAGCTGGTAAAGATCTGGGTATTCTACAAGTCATACACACATATAAGAGTAATATGTTAATTTTGGAGGCCTAAAGTAATAGGAGGTAAATTCAGAGGGTTGGGTTTTTTTATTTTTTATGAAAAAGAATCGTTTTGACTTTCTAAGGATACCTACATATCACCTTTACCAATAAAGCCCATGACAAGCACATGACTTCTTAGCATAACTGGCTCTGGGCAAGGTATCTGGGCTGTACTCAACCTGTAACAAAAGAACACAACCACAAAAAAATAAAAATAAACCAACACTATTGGATTGCAATAGTGCCTACAGGAGCTCTGTTGCCTTAAACATCATACAGAGTTAAGAGCTCCTTTACACAGAAAACTCACACTTCTGAATAACAACTAGGAAATGAACACAAAAAAACCCACAGCCATCCTGCTCCAATTCCTCTCTAAACTTTCCTATTTCAGACAAAGAATGTTTATACAGTTTAGGTTAATCCTAGATTAACCAGTATCACACAGAAACACAATGTGCTGCTACTCAGCAGCGGCTACTTCTGGCTTTTCCCCACTTTTCAGTCAAGTCAGAAAGAGTTCAGATGTCGAAGAACTTCAGAGCGTGAACAGCCAGACAAAGGACTATCTTTATTCCTCCTTTTTTCCTCCCTGTTTCTCCCTCCCACAGGGAAGCTTAAGACACTTGCTGGAATACTCCAGAGACCAAAAAAAGGTAGTGAGAGCCAGTGTCTAGCAATAGAAGGATATTTCCTAGAAACAGGAGTTTCAGTTACATAAAGGAGTTTCAGTTTGTATGCTGAAGTAAAAACTGGAAGATTCACCTTATTAAATTCCTCATTTCTTTTTCAGCCCATGTCTTCACCATTTTTCTTGGGTTACCTTTGCAATATCCATGACGAAATCTTAAAAAAAAGAAAATAAAAACAAAAAAAACACTCAGCATATGCAGTACTGGCAATGATCATTTTACAACCATTCAGACAAACCCTACTGCTCATTAAAATAAGGAAGAACTCCAACTCACCTAAATTCACCACTCACATACTTATCCCGATCTTTAAACATCAGAATAGAGGTTTTGTAAATCTTTATTGCTCTGTTTTCTCCATTTGCAGTACTGGCATGATATACATTAGCCTATTGGATTATAAAGGGAAGAAGAAATAACACTTAAAGGAAAAATTGTTTACAGTAACTGATACAACCTTCTTCCTTCGGATGTTTTCCAGGATGCCAGAAAGAGAAGATAAACTTTTTCACCCAGCTGAGTTAGTGGTATTGCACACAAGGGAGCTTCTACAAGCAGCAGCTTACTGAAAGTGTTTAAGACTGGGTAGGGGTGTTACAGTACACAGGAGAACTCCACAGCATCCACACTTTGAGACTGAAACAAGTCCTTCTGTGAAGGGTTAATCTGAGACGTGTGCACTATTTAGGCCCCAAATGCCTCATGCTGACACCACCACACAGCATGGAATTATGCCTTAAATCAGAAGGCAAGGACTCCGAATAAAGTCAGGTCAGCTTAGGGACTAGGTATTCTAAAACTGACTTACTAATTTACTGTGGAAAACCGTGCTTTGGTTTTAATTATCAGTAATATTACTTGATAGTAATAGCAAACATTAATTTGGTAAAGGCAATGAAGGTTTAATAGTATTTTAAACAGTATTTTGCCATGCCATTCAGGCATTCCCACCTCTACAGAGATGTGGAGTGGATCTGATCTGCATGCAACAGGTCTTGCTGAAGAGTTATCTGGCTTTGTTTGCTTTTCAAGCATTGTTTTATATTGTGTGTACATGTACCCCTTTCCAAAAATTTCAGTTATAACACAGAATTAATGAGAAATACTAATTTAAGTTAACATTTAAATGTTATCAGAAATTCTTCATAGCTGGGGAAACCCACTTCTTTAACATAAGTTGCATTTTATCTTAAGATAACTTTCTACTCACCAAGTAACATACAAACAGTAATACTAAACCCAAGCATTTCCATGCATCTTCTGAGCACCATAAGCATCTACCTAGCTTGTTAAGAGGCTGTGTCATGAGACTTATAACAAAACTTACTTCTTTCCCCGTGCTGATGCAGCCATTGATTTCTGATATGATACCTCTAGTTAGCATCTTGAACAGAATCATTCGGGTCCTTGGATCCAATACCTCAAGGTTAATATAGAAAAGTCAGCATAACTGCTCTTTGAAGTAATTTTCTTTCAAGACAAATTGTGGGGTTTTTTTTCTTTTTTAAACTGATCATACATCGATTTTAGAGCTAGCTGAAGGATGCATGAGAATGATTTCCCATCCACAGTTGCATTAAACGTGTTAAAATAAGTTTTCTCTTAAGATACAGTTATGAGAACTGAAATAGAGCAGCCAACAACAGTTCAGTCTTATTTAAGGGAAAAGAAAATGGGGGGAGAGAGAGAAAAAGAAAAAAGAAAAAGAAAAACCCCAAACCAAAAAAAACTAAACAGGCAAACCCAGAATCTTCCATTGCTTCTTGGAGTTTGATGAAAGCTTAAAAATGGAATTCAAGTTTCCTTAGGACAAAGGGAAACAGAATTCCAAGGTGAAACTCTGTTGCTACAGTAGCTCCTGAAAGTTTTATCACCAACTCCAAAATTCCAGATGATTGGTTCCAGTCAGAACAGAAATATTTGATACATTAAGGACTTACCTGTTCTACTGTTGCTCTGTCTGACTTATCCTTGACTCGATACCTAGCAGAAGTGAAAATAAAATTATACAATCCCACACATTGACTCAGTACTTTGACAGAATAAAGCATGACATTCTACTTCAAAGCAAAGTTAACAGCCTCAAAAAATAAGGCTTCCAGTTCATACAAAAGCAAACATTTTTCTTGCAGGCAGGAAAAAAAAAATTCAACATCAGTGCCCTTTACTATTACAGATACCTTCTTGACTCCAGTGAAATATGTTTACTCATGAGAAAGTGGTACCTGTCTGAACAAGTTACAGCTATAAGCTGCAGGCTCTCCAGAAAAAAAAACAAAAAAAAACCCCAAGAAACCCAAACAAACAAGAAAAGCCTTTCCTCACCAAATCATCAGGAAGAATCTTAATAAGGTTTCCAGTATGTTTTTTAGCCCAATTGCTCAAGGACTTCCTTTAGGAAAGGAGCAGAGAAAGATAGCCTTTCACTACTAGAGTAAATACAAGTAACTTCTGCATTACTACACCAACAGCGATTAGATTTGCTATCAATTGCAGTGACAGGAGGAGCAAAACTTGGCAAGGATTCAGGTGACAGATCCAGAAAACAAAAAGTTTTAAGACCAGAATGCAAACTACATGTAGTATATTTACAGATTTTTTTTCTTAATAATTTATTCAAAACTCTGGCTGAAACTAGGAAATAAGAACTCTTCTGGGTTCAAATTAGGTCAATGAAAATAGAGACAAACTTATAACTCACAGGTCTGCTTCCTTCTGTCTAGATTTTTCTGTGACTCTGTTTATAACAGAGTCATCAAAATTCAGCTTATCTGAAAAACACATAAGATAGGAAACTTCTTTACTTGTTTTTTTTTTTTTTTTTTTTATTAGGAATTGCATCTGCAACTCTGCTGCCAGCCAATATGCCCCAACACAATGTTCAGACACACTTGGATTTCTCTGTAACAAACTGAAGTGGTACTTCAGGCACATACCACAGAAGCATCAGTTACTTAATTTTCCACTCCATCTGTGTACATTTCAAAGTAGAACTATAATAACAACACAGACTACTGAGACACTCCCACAGACTTAGAGATGCAATGCCATCCAGAGATGAGAAAGAGACAGTCTCTTGGGCAACATCTTATTAAATTCATCTGCCCTTCTCTTCCACAGTCTGACGCCATTTTTCTAAACAGAACAACAACAGTCTCCAGGACTGTCTCCCCACAGTGTATTTTAAATGGTGTTTCATTAATTGCTAAGTACATAAAAGCTGCTGTATTTGACTACACATCCCAGCACTACTCTTTTGAGCGTTCACTTCAGATCACCTTAGTTATGAAGAAACTACAAACTCTTGTTAATATCCTACCAAAAAACCCCAGCCACAGCTGCATCTAGCCCTAACAGGCTGAGCAGAACAGCTATTTCCATCGTATCATATACAATACTCTACACAGGCTAGGACAGCAGCCTCTCCACCTGTGGCAGAAAAGCCTACCCCTGTGAGATAACTGTAGCATAAGTTACCGTTGCATTAGTTCCACACTAATGCTACAGGAAACAGCAATCAACCAGGAAATTTAGCTGTGGTAGCAGGTTTGAGAATGGCCAAAGACACACCAGCAGAGAGAAGATACCCTCCCACAAGCCAGGCAGCTTGCTCCTACAGAGAAGCTAGGGAAAAAATATTTTGTGTGATCTGGAGAAGCTA